TACCTCCCAGAAATGACGGATGAACGACGGACTTCATTTGTGACGTTTTCGTACCAAAGGGACTGCAGTGCCCAGTTGACCGACGTCAGCCAATATGGGACGATGAGCTAAAAGAGGGCTATGTTAGCTTGTGACCACAAATAGCACAAGGAGATGAGCGTGGCATCGAGACTGGGCAATGGTGATCCCTTGTAAATTATGAAGAAAGACCAGTCAGTTTTTATTGCTGTTATGGAGAGTAGTTAAAATGAGCCTAATTTTTTCGGTCATTAACTTTATTGAGTTACTTTTAGCATTTAAAATGCGCGTTTCACATTGATTTGGTAGCTGATATCTGATGAAGTTAGGGCTATTTCTTTCAAGATCGTGCAGATTTTCTATGCCAGTGAATTTGTCAGATCAGATATGTGATGAAATTCGTCCCAACAGACACAGTTATTGAGTTTAGTTAACAATGATTATTAAAAAAGTTACTAGGTATGGAAGGAGGCATCAATTTGTTGCCTTTTTTAATAACACTCAATTGTCTTCGTTTCAGATCCGTGGAAATCTGTTTGTCGTTGAAGCAGTTCGACCTTACACACCAGCGCCATCTTTATAGCAATAATATGGGTATTTTTGAGCTGATAAGAAATTTGGAACGACAAATATCTATAGTTTTTATATGATGCTTGTAGCATAGTGGTTCACACGATCCGGTTCGACTGGCCTACCAGTCCTTTCCAACCCAAGTGTATTTAAAAACGACTACAACTTAGTTGATCCAGCCACCTAAAACTTTCATGCCTCTCTGAACAACAGCTGATGCATCTGTGCCTCAGTCGCTGCATATGAACCGTTGTCAGGAACGGTTGACGGAAGGACGGATTTGTGCGATTTGACCATATCGTGAAAGGTACATGGATGAACGGCTGACGGAAAGGAAAAGCTTAGCCGCCAGCCGAAGCTGGTGTTGGGGATGCAGCCGCGACGACAAAAGGAGCGTGTCACGTCTTTTTTGGCCATGGAGGAAAAACATCTGCCGCACGATCGGGTGCTGGTAAAAAACACCGGTGCTCTCGCGCGCGGCTCCATTCTTACCACAGCGTGCAGCACACCCTGGACGACAATTCCGATGCCGCTGGCGAAGTGCAGCTTGACGCCCTGTTCGATGGTGAGGTTGGCGCCGGCTTGCACGAAGATCGTACGGGTGACTTTGTACGGGCTGGAGACGAAGTACAGCGTCTGGTTGCCTGAATAGACGCCCCCAGCTTCCGGGTACGTGTCCATGGGCGAGGAGGCGGCGCCGGGGCCACAGCCCAAGGTCACCACGGTCACCACCATCAGCGCCTGCGGCCAAAGCATGCCGTTTCGCCCAATTGTCATCCAGCACTCATCGGCCGTCGGTGCTTCGTCGAAACTTCCTCAAACTCGCTCGACCCAGTGCAGACACAAGACACCTTCGACGACGACGACGACGACGGCTTTCCTAACGGCTGCTGCTGCGATGGCAACAGTGTAAACAATGACCACTGCGATGCCGTGTAAACGTCCCGCTAATAACCCACCGACGGCGACGATGCTGATGATGGAAACACACACACAGACACGATGACTAGCGACGCCGTTCGGCGCAACAACACGTTGACCCGTTTTCGGACTGTTGACTGTGGCTGTCACGCCGATAATCACGTGCACTACAGATTCCGAGCATCTACCAATCACGGG